CAATTTTAAGTCGTAGTAGTTTGAAGAAATGAAAAAAATAAAACTTAAGCTGTCATTAAAAGAAATTCTTTTTCTTATTTCATGAATTAAGTAGTTATGACAATAGCGACAACTAGCATACCGATTGCTATAGCATATTTAATCATGACTGATCTGATAATTGCAACATTAATGGAAAATAAAATCTTTCTAAAATTAATTTTTTTCATTTCTTCAAACTACTAAGACTTAAAATTGATATTAATTGAGCAAGCCGATCTTGAGAAAGTTTTCATGTTTTATAAACAGTTCCATTAGCAAAATAAACTGATGTTGATTTATGTGGATTCATATGATCTGGAAGTATAATAGGAAAATTAGCATCTATTATAACATACGCACGAAAATAATTATCAATTAAGTCATCGTTTCACTGATACTTTCATGACCGAAAGACGTAATAAATCAAGTTTAACACTCCAATCTTTGAAAATAAAGTCATCATTATGAAATATATCTATTCAGATCATTCGTTTCTTACTGCCTTGAGTTTGATGCTAATCTGAATAACATATATTACAAGAAATATTTTTAATTAAAATATTTGGTTGTGACTTTGGAATTTTCACTTTTTTAAATTTAAAATGGCTTTTGAAATTCTGTTGAAGCCGCTCACTGCTATCACGATATGCTATTAAAATAAAAAATATTCTATGTTAACTATTTAGTATTTAAAGTGGTACCGTATGCGTAAGTAAAAAGAGAAAAGAAGGTACTCTCGAAACATGGATTGTACTTTGACCTTAAAGGAGGAGAACAAACAAAAAAATGTCATCTATGTCTCATCATGAATAATCGATAAACAAATGTATTTTTATTCTCTCTAGTATTCAGTGAATAAGTCGAACTTTTACAGTAAGGCAAGTATCCTTCTATTATTACTAATCAGTCATTTATTACTTTTAGAAATAAAAAATGATTATTCACATTAAAATGAAAGTAAAATTACAAAGATGAGTGGGCAACGAAATAACCAGATAACAGAAAATAAATGTGTGTTCACTGTGTTCCAAGTTGACAATTACATAAATACTCCATTATTGGATGAGAAAATAAAAAATAAAAAACATAAACTAAACACAATAGGGGAAAGAGTGAAGAGAACGGTAGGATTTGCTTCAGACAAAAGAATTAGTTTCTTCTTTATAGAAGTCCGCCTGAATATATCGTCTATAATGTTTTTCTATGTTATTGACTTAACACAAGATCATGCGTTTCTAAGTACCATTTTATTGTTAAGAATTATTACAAATAATAGTAAACATAAGAATAACGCAGTACACGTGAAGGATATACAATTAAAAAAAATACATCAATGATTTTATTAGATAATCCAATGAAACAAAAGAAAAATATTTGTTAATTATATGAAGATATATCATTGTTTTGTATAAGAAAGTCATAATTAATTTTCTCTTTTCAAAACGATAATATAATAATAAATGTTATTATCTTCATCAGCATAATATTTTCCTTATTTATCGATTTCGATTCATGATATTATTTTAACAGTATTGTTGTGATGTAGAAAAATTGATATCAACGATTTCACTGTGAAACTCATTGTGGTTTTTATCAAACTGATACAATATTTTCTTTTGCTAGGGTTATGTGAAGGTCATATGTAAAAAAAGGTTTAGAAAAATAAATGCAGTATTACAAATCATGTCAGATATGCTACGAGTCTAAATCTGAGTAAGTTAAAACAAGCTGTTGGATTGTTGTTGCACTATTTTTATATTTTTCTACCGCGCGTTTTAATTCTGTTACACTTTCTTTCAATCTTGGATCTTTATATTCATATGTAACAATATTTAATCCAGGAAAATTGAATAATAATAATTCTTTTAAATTAATTAATAGATCTGGATTAGGAGCATAAGTACCCGATCCATTATCGAATACTAATTCCCATTCATCATCACATCTATCCCATCCATATTTTGGACGTGGATGAAATTCTCCAGCATAACGAACATATTTTGATCCATTAGCTAATAGCGCATGTTTACTTGCTAAATCTGCAAAAAATTGAACATCTGTTTCGCTAAAATGCCATGTATTATCATTAATCACATATGTATAAATACATGGTTTAATACGTTGTGTTGTTCGATTTGAAAAAACAAATTTCCAAAGATCATCAGCATTCGTTAATTGTCCATTTTCATGATGTCTTAATGTCTGACCATAAAGTACTTTATGGGCTAATTTGATTGCACTTCGTGTTGCTAATGAAGCAGGACAATTACCAAATATAGTTTGTGCTGCTTTGTATTTTGTATTCCAATGTTGTTGTTCATGAGGTTTAAAAAAACCTGAGATTCTACGTAAGTGTATTTTCCATGTTGAATAAACACAATCAGCATTAAGCATAGTTAAACGACCAATAGCAAATGAATCATGACGAGAATATCGACAAGGACCATCGAATGTGTAAGGAGGTAAAT